GTTGTCAACCTATGAAGCTGAATATATTGCAGGCGCTTTAACTGCATGCCAAGTTGTGTGGATTCTGAACTTGCTGCAAGATCTGAAGATTAAAGTAGACAAACCTCTGAAGCTGGTGATTGATAACAAGTTTGCAATCAATATTGCCAAGAACCCAATGCTGCATGGGAGAAGCAAGCATATTGAGACCAAATACCACTTTCTGAGGAATCAAGTTCAGAGCAGAATATTAGAAGTTGTGCACTGTAGCACCCAGAAGCAGCTAGAAGATGTTCTAACAAAGGCTATCAAGAATGATTAATTTCTTAGTTTAAGGGATGGAATTGGTGTTGTTAGTTTTGGGTAAATATAAATTAAGGGATGGTGTTAGAATTAATTTATATTTTAGGAATATATTTTTATATATTAATTTATATTTTAGGAATATCCTTTTAGATCTTTTTATATCTTTGTTAGAGGATATTTAGGATTTTATTATACCCTAATTTTGTGTATAAATAGCCTATTGAGGTAGGTCAATGTAATTCATTGTAAATCATTATTCCTTATTTTTTAGCCGTCATTAAATATATTCCTTTTGTCTTTCATCTCTCCTTTATGCACTAACATTTGAGACAAATATCATAGCGGTTTTGGGTTTAAAATCTGTTTTTTTTTTAAATATTGGAATACATGATTAGTTGTTTATGGATTCTGAAAATGATTTTGAAAAGCGGAGTTTGCATTACACAGAATCAGGTATGGGAAACTATGATGCAGCAGGGAAAATATCATATCATACTTATGTATCATTCTCTCAAGCTGCAGGACTTGAGGACGATCTGGAGGAAAAATTCTAAATGGTAATATTGTGAGGCCTTGTGTGTTGTTCATCCTTTGATTACTTTGTCATAGAAGACTTGTCACAAAAGACAGAATGAGCAGGTTTGGTTTTGTATACAATGACAATTGTGTTTTATGGAACAAACAGGAAAACTTGCAGCAAATGTTATTTATTTGTGTTGTGAGGGGGTTAAAGGGTTTTGGATCAATGGGATTCATTGGCTCCAAATTCATCATAATCCTAGTGAATGGAATGAGGACCTATTGTGGAGTATTGAGCACAGTAAGGGAAAATGTGCTTAAAATTTCATTTTCAAATGTGCGTTTGCAGAAACGATCTATGAGATATGAAAGTATATAAGTTCATGTTGTTTTACTGGTAGTAGCAACATCCAGGATGTGGAATCTAAAATAATTGATTGTATTATGTATAGATGTTGGTCTAAACCTAGGCTTAGAGGCTATCTTAGTAAAATAATGGTGATTTAGTTTGTGTTATTGTTGGTGCCTGTAATATATTTTTCTTTCCTTAAAAAAATTAGATCAAAATAGTTTTTATAAATTTATAAGAAAATGAAGTTTTTATGGGATTTTGGTTCTGCTCAAATGTGTGGATAGACACGAAGCAGACATGTTCATGAAAAAAATCATGAAGTATTTTTTGGTACTCATGCTAATGGATATGAAATGGCTAAGAAAATATTGAAAAGGACTAGTATTGGTTGACTATGGAGACTGATTGCTTTCATTATGCCAGAATATGCCACAAATGTCGAATCTATGCGGACAAGGTGCATGTGCCACCAACTCCTCTGAATGTTCTAGCAGAGTCGTGGCCATTCTTTATGTGGAAAATAGACATGATCGAACTTATCAAACTGATCACTTCAAATAGACACAGATTTATCTTAGTCGCCATCGAGTACTTCGCCAAGTGGGTTGAAGTCGTTTCTTACACAAATGTAACAAAACAAGTGGTTGCCCACTTTATTAAGAAGGAGATAATCTATCGTTATGGGATTCTCAATAAAATAATAATTGATAATGGGTTGAATCTGAATAACCAAATAATGAAGGATTTATCGAGAGTTTCAAAATTGAACATCATAACTCATCATCATACCAGTCCAAAATGAATGGCGTCGTGGAAGCAATGAATAAGAATATCAAGAAGATTATCCAGAAAATGGTAAAGACTTATAAGGATTTCCAAGAACACCGGTTCCATGGCTATAGAACATTGGTTTGTACTTCAATTTGGGCAACCCCCTTTCTCTCGTATACGGCAAGGAAGTAGTGCTTCCTATTGAAGTAGATATCCATTCACTGAGAGTTCTCATGGAGACCAAGTTTGAAGAAGCTGAGTGGGTTTAGGCAAGTTCGATCAACTCAACCTTATAGAAAAGAAGTGCATGATAGCATTGTGCCATGGTCAATTGTATCAAAAGCGGATAAAGAATGTGTTCGACAAGAAAATCTGTCCTTGAGAGTTTCGAGAAGGTGACCCGGTGTTGAGGAAGATCATGCCACCTCACAAGGATTCATGTGAAAAATAGATGCCAAACTATGAAGGTTCATACATTGTGAAGAAAGTCTTTTTTGGAAGAGCTCTTGTTCTCACAAATAAGGATGGTGAAGAATTCCCACACTCGGTAAATTCAGGCGCAGTTAAAAAATATTTTGCCTAAAAAAGAGGAACAATGACCCACTGAGTCGAAAACCCGAAAGGGTGACTCAGTAAAAAATGGGCATCCCAATGGACATAAAAAAGAGAGTTGTCCAGGAAAAAATTAGGGATAAAATAAAAGAATAGAACCCGCTAAGTTGGGAACCCGAAAAGAGCGGCTTAAGAAGAAAAAAAGGTAACTTGATAGACTGAAAACTCGAAAGGGCGATTCCGGTAAAAGTTAGGGATTTTCCAAAAGGAAAAAGATGATGGTCCATGTACATATTCCACAACAGAAATTAAGGACTGGAAGAATTAGTCCAGCTTCTCTACTTGGAAGCAAAGTATTATGATTCTTGAAGACATAACGAAAATAGCAGTGTTGTAATTTGATGGAAACTTACATAGTTCTATTATCATTGTACTTTTTTGTCTCAGCAATTTCCTCTTTTAGGAAGTGCATCCTTATATATTGCTACCCATTTATGAGTAATTTCCTCAATGAATAAAATTTCTTCATAAAAAATCCTTCTTTATCATTGTGTTGTTTCTGCTCGTTTGCAAAATGTGAATTATTTTTGATAAAAATATCTTTAAATTTGTTGGTAATAATAAGAAGTATTGAAAAAACATTAATTATTTCAATTTTAAATCTCCAAAGGAAAATCCATTGTTTCTAACGACATACCTGGTGCACAATGCACAAGGTCCTTTGCGGGTCACCTTGGTCTCATCAACATGAAAGTTGTGACTCTTCCATGAGAACAAGCAAACAACTTGCCAATAATGGATCAAACTCAGAACTATCAAAACTTAAGAATATCGGGAAGTCAGAATCTTATCGTGAGTCGACAAAAGTCCTACACCATTTGGCATCTTCTTTGAGTCCAACCCCATTTGGCATCTTCTTTGAGGTCCAACCCCGTTTGGTGCCTTTTCAAAGTCTAATCTTCCATTGCCATTCCCACATGCATGGATCATAATATTTCATACATCGTTGCATGCATAGTGTAACACCCCAAAATAATTAAATTATTTATTTAATTATTTGATTAATTTGTGATGAATTTTTGTGACATATTTGTGGTGTTTATATGATGTGTTGATGATCATGATGCTTGATATGTTGTTTTGTGTGATGTATGATGGGGTAGTGTTGTAACCGGTTTTGAAATGAGAGTCGTCACCCTTAATTTTTATCTTTAAGAAAGGAATATAAAAGATAACTCTGATTTAGTCAGAGATTTTAAGTTGTTGGACTCGTTCTTAGACGAAGGGGAGGTGTTAGGCACCCCTCATCTACCTTTTTCACAAGGATGCTAGGGTTTAGAATTACGGCTTAGGGAATATGGTTTTAATTTTTTATTAGAGGAACTCACCATGATTTTAGTCGTATGCCTATATATTTTGTTATGAGGAATCAGAGTCCCAATTCGTAGTTCGTAGTTTGGTTGGTAATTTTTATAAGATTACGTAGAATTGGTTTCGAATTATCCTTAAACCTTGTTTGAGTTGTAAGATGAGTGATCGTAGATGCAGTTCGCAGTTAATTTTGAAAGTAATTCTATTTAATCTTTTTTCAAAAATAATCTTATTGTTTTTGTTATGTTAGTAAAAAATGATTTTTGATGGATTAGCTATATTAAGACGTTGAACGGAGAAAGTCTGATGTAGTCTCCTCTTCACGTGGTCAGATATTGACCACGTGTCATTCACGAATGGTGAATTTGGTGAGTTGCATGAATTTTAATTGTTTGATTTTGAATAATAAATCGGTAGACAATGTGCCGACCAATTTAATTACTCAGAGACGAACATTCTATTATTTATAAAATGTTTGAATTAATTTTATTGAAGAATTTAATTTTTACGTACTAGAGAATTGCAAATTATTTCAAGGATTTTGTTATTTTTAGAAAATTTATTGTTTTTTCATGATTTTAAGGAAATGGATGAAATTAGTCTAAATTAGCATAATTAGAAATTATGTTATAAATTAATTAAAAACTAATATCTAATTGATTAAGAAATAAATAATTATTTAATTAAAACTAAATAACATGAAAATCTGGGGTGTTAAATTTAGACATGGTAAGGTTTAGTAAAAAGAAATTAAAGCCTAAGGCTCATTAGACTTATCAACCTTAAGTCAACTTAAAACTAAATTGAACATTAGATAAATTAAAAAACAACAATTGTAACAATAACAGATGAACCTGAGTATTTCACAGAGAGAGAGAGAGATTTTTTCCTCTTCCTCGTTTTTTCGTGCATCTGGTTCTTTCTTCTTCAATTTTCTTCAACATTAGATCCAAATCAAATTTCCTTTTCCTTCTTGTAAAATTTCTTTCAAAACCCTATCCATGATCAATATTGAATGGCGGCGGTAGTCAAGAACAAAGATGGTTCAGGGCATTATGGATCTCGTACGTGCGTCTGACAGATCAGAGGGAAGGACGCCGCCTGCAGTGCTTCATTGGTTGAGCATGGTTGGGAGGTCATGGTGATGTGTCTACCGGCATGGTGTGTGGTTGAGATTATCGATGAAGAGATGTTGATTACCGTCGATGGTGGTCTGCCGTTGTTGCAGTCGATGTTTCATTTGGCTTTGCGGCGGTTGTGAGTGTATGCAGCGGTCGGTGGGGCTCGTCGGAGTTTGCAATGATTTTCGATGGTGAGGATGTAATTCCATCATTGTTCTTCTTATACCTTTTAAACCTGCAAGAAAAACTAAAACCAACAAGAGCATGAATGAACGTGAAAGTTACACGGTTGATTCTATTTTCTTTTGTTATGCTTTCTCATTTGAATCCGACCATCGAGTTGTTATTGTTCAATCAATTTCTCTCCTCTGAACTCAATTGTTTGTTATTGTTGAATCCTTCTTGTTGAATTTTTGAGTTTGTGAGTTATGATTGAACCTCAGTGTAATTCATTCTATTATAATGTTTGTGAAAAGGGAAAAAAAGTTGTAGATTTGTTGGCGGATGAAAGTTTATTGTTATTGAGTGATTTTGCAGGAATGGTTGCTTTTCAAGTTGTTGGTTTTGATATTGTTCTGAGTAAGCTTGAGAAAGAGAATAGGTAATGGTTTGAATGGAATTTTGAAAAAGGTTGTGTTCATGAAGAATGGCTTATGCTTGGTCTTACATGTTTAGAAAATTTTGGTCAGTAGTTTTGAAAGTTGTTTACATGTTAGTAATTTGGAGGCCTTTGGTATGAGATGGTTTACGGTTGAAACTTGGTATGTTTGTAAGAAGAATCGAAGGGGCTTATAATGTTGCGTTTTGAAAGAGATGGTAAAACGTGAGCTTATTGGTGTTAGAACGTGTGTATATCATGCAGCTGAATGGTTTGACATAAAGATTGGAGTAGGTACAAATTTACCATTAGGTGTTATGTGAAAATTGTGTTAGTAAAATTTGTGAAAAATATGTATCATGAATGTCTATGTCATGGAATTATTTACAGCAACATAATAAGGGTTTTTGGATGATAAAAATGGTGAAAAACTTAAAAGTCTGTAATGGTGTGTGAAACGTGATAATGTATGTGGAAAATTGTTACTGGATAAAAAGTGGCCTCCAAAATAATTAATAAAAAATATAATTTAGGAAAATAAATTACCATCAGATTAACATCACGTGGTTTGAAAAGACAAACAAATTAAAATTGAAATTAAAAGGGAGGTCTCATATGAAATCATCGACCAAGAATAAAAATTAACACCAATAAATTTGAAAAGCAATTTTTAGGGTTGTTGTCTGATATAGTCAACAACCCTATAATAAACCAAAACAAGAATTCTAAGAGTTTGTAAAGATAGTAAATTTGGAGATGTGGATTGTTGATGAATTGTGGATTTGTTGATGAAAATTGTTAATGAAAAATTATGACAACAATGAGTCTTATTTATAGAAGGCAACATTGTAAGATATCTTAGCAATTTGTTGTAAGGGTCTAAGATCGTTTTACCGAAGGCAACATTGAGGGGTCATTGAGGGGCTATGATCTTGTATTCGAGGGTCTTTGCTAAAGTATCTCACGTTTGAGAGACATGACTATTTTTCTCAAGGCAACAAGTGAGGTTAATCCTAGAGGTGCAAGTGTGCAAAGTGTTTGTTTTCATGCATTTTATCTTGGGATTAGGATTCTCTATTGTTTGATTTTTAGCCTTGCCATACACACCCTAATTACTACCAATTATATTGAAAGCGATAAATTACAGAAATTTAAAGTTCTACGCTATTACATCTTTTTGGGGGATGGGGGATACAAATTTATAAATGGGGAATGAAAGAAATTAAAACCTAATTAATATTACAACTATATTGAATAATGAATAACAATAAAAACATAAAGGAATATAAAGATAATGTAAAAAAAGGAAAATTGTTTTAAAAAAACTTTTATATATTGACACATACACTTACGCATTGATACGAAAATTTTTATGCATTGATGCATGTACTTATGCATTGGCTCATATATGTTTTGTATCGACACATGCACTTATGCATCAATACATATCATTCCTTGCTCATAGAAATAAAAATCAACTCATTATGAGTCGATACATAAAGGTTTACATCGGCTCATAACCTTTTTTGCATCGACACATGCACTTATGTATTGATATATATCATTTCTTTGCTCCTTGAAGTCAAAACCAACTCAGTATGAGCCAACACATAATAGTTTGCATCGACTTATTTCTGTTATGTGTCAACTCATTTGTGTTTTGTATCGATTCATAACCTATTTTGTACTTAATATGTGTCGGCTCATAGAGATATGTATCGACTCATACTATTGTTTTTTACTCCTAACATTTTTCTGCTGCATATATGAGTTAGTTCTCAACACATGGTTAATGAAAATGAAAAGTAAACATATGGTTAGCTTCATGATAATGATATCTACATTTTATATTCACAAATGAACCACTAATGATGCTTGTATGAAGAGTTCAAAGTCAAGAAAACTTACCTTAAAGCTGAAATTTGTGTTTTGATTTAGAGATATTGTATTCTCTTGGAGAAGTCAAGTAGCTGCTTTTGAGTTTGGAGAATGATGATAGTGGTGTTACAGAAGTTTCTCTTGTGTTTGAACAACTTCTATATGATGTATATGAAGTATATGGATGGTTTGTTTAGGGAAAACTTGCAAGATTTTAGAGACTCAAAGGGTTTGGACTTCAAAGCTCAAAGATGGAGATTTTTATGGGCAATTCTGGTTTTTAGAGTATAAGGGGGGTTTGAGGATTTTTTCAATACACGAGAATCTATCCTCTTTCTCTTGCAAATGTTTCCTCTATTTATAGGCAAGAGGTTTGGGGACAAAATTTGATTAGGTTTGCAAGACAGCATGTTATGGTTTGGTTGGGATGCAAATATCAAACTATGTCAATTCTCCATAGTCCAAAGATGAAGTGTAAAAGTTGCTGGTATAGAGGGGCTACTTTCCATGATTTATGGTGGAGTATAATCAGAAGTAAGCAAGGTATGGGCTCAAGACAATTTTTGTACCAAAAGCTTGCTTTTCAAGAATAATAATGGTAACTTTATACCATGAATGGAAAGATCTTTTGGACAATGACTCAAACACTTGGATAATGGTTCAAGCTTTTATGTGAATATTAAATTATAGAGAGATTTTCAAGAAATAAAGCCTGCAACATAAGATTATGCAGCATAACATGTAGATTGGATCATGTGTTCTTCACCAAAAAGACTTGTAATTCAAGGATGGATGCCCAACTTCATGCCTTTGAATCTTCAATCTCAAGTATGATAAATTCATGCTCTTGGACATTTTGGAAAGCTTGAAACATTGTCTACAACTTTCATGTTGACCACTTTGGCTAAATCAAATTGGAACTTGATGAAAATTGGCCAAGAAGTTGAGAAAAAAACTGACTAAAACCTATTGAAAATTTCTCTAAGTGTTTTATGAAAAATGTCATGACTTTAGGAATTTATAACTCAAAATACAAGCACTTATAGGACTTGATAAGCAAAGCAAAGTTATAGATCTCATCAATATCTATAACTTTTATGTTGAAAGTGAAGAGGTGAAAAACACAAGAAGGGGGGGGGGGGGGGGGGGGTTGAATTGTAAAACTGAAATCTTAAAGCAATTGACAAGATATTTTTATCCTGGTTCGTTTGATCTCAAACTACTCCAGTCCACCCGTCAAGGTGATTTCGCCTCTCTCCAACGAGGTCTTAATTCACTATATTCAACTGAATACAAATCTGCTTTAACAACTGCTAAAGCCTTCTTGATTCAAACCACAATCCGGTTTGTCAAGGCAACACTTTCTTACAAAGGTATAAAACAAATGTGTGTGAATGTTTTCTACAAAACTTTATCACAACTGTGATGTATACACAAATGAAGCTTAGAAACTTATAATGCTAAACACTAATGGAGTATCAGAGTTTGTGGTTTAGCAAAACTGGTAGATGAAGATTATTGTTCAGCTTTGTGCGTGTAGAGAATTGGAGAGCATTAGCCATTATAATCTTCGAAGCCTTGTTTATATAGCACTTGAGGAGATGAACGTTGAATGTAATATTCTTGATTCAATGCTAATAACAAGCTTTCCTTTTTGAGCAGATCTTGTCTAGAATGATGCCGTTGGAATTAATTAGTGTTCAATGCACAGTACCGTTGCTTCTTCAATGCACGTTCTGGCTTGGCTCATTCTGATTCTGCTTTGCTGCTGATGAACTATTGTTTTTGTATCAGAGTGTTTACGCGCAGTTCTGTTCATCAAGCTTCAGCAAGTACGTGAGTTGATCATCTGATCTTCACGTTCTGATTCAGCAACTTCTGATGCTGGTGTATCAAATCAAATTCTGATGCTGAAGAAGTGATCTTGCTTATTTTAATCAGCGTATCTACAAGTCAGAGCATAGTAATTTTAGGTAGCATATAGTTCAAACATGAAACATATAAATACTATATCTTTTCACTTTGTTATCATCAAAACTTAAATATAGGGTACTAGATTCAAACATTGTTCTAACAATCTCCCCCTTTTTGATGATGACAAAAACTAGATATTTTAAATAAAAAATAACGTGAAAAGGTATCTAGGAAATGTTTCAGAGTTAAGAAGTAAGGAGAAATCAGAGTTAAGAGATACTCCCCCTGAGTTTGTTACTTCCCTTTGATATACGTGTTCTTCAGGATCAGATCTTTTTCTATCTTTGAGCATCAGATTATAGGTCTTTGACTTATCAGAGAGCAGAGCTTCAGAGCTTTTCCTGTCAGAGCTTTGCTTCGGATCAGAGTGTTAGGTCGATCAGAACTTCATATTTGATCAGAGCAACATGAGCTTCTACATTTTGATCAGAGCTTCTAGCTTCATAGTGTTCAGGGGCTTCCTTGTGCCTGTAGACTTAAAAACAAAACAGAAAAACATTTCAAGTAATAGAGTTAGAATGTTTGAGAATTTCTGTCTAGTTAGCCGTTATTGATTTTAAATATCATTCTTGTTCTCCCCCTTTTTGTCAGCAATCAAAAAGTGTTGGTGATGTGCTAAAACAATTTTATCAGAAAAACTAATCATATTAAGAGTTCAGAATCAGAGCAAAGGAACATTACAAAAACTCAATCAAAACAGTACATCAGAAAATGAAGAAAACATAGAGAATGTCATGCATGAAAAAAAATTTTAAGGTTGTGGGGGCATGCGTGAGAACAGGCTTTCCAGCATTGCTTGAATCTTTTCAGAGGTTT